TTTGCTTTTGCATATGGTTTTCTCTTATTTCAGTAGTTTCAGTTTTCGTATTTGTATCCAATCGAAGCTATAACAACTAACCTGTTCTGTTCCGTTTTCATATTTGTATCCAATTCTCATGCATACCCAGCCCTTATAGCTCAGTGGTAGAGCGTCAGTCTTGTAAACTGAAGGTCTGTAGTTCAATCCTGCATGGGGGCACAATACATAATCATTAAGATCTTACAAAATACAACTTATTCTATCCATTTAGCCTTGCTATACTTGTAAAAGTTTGGATTTTCCATCCTTTGATATGTATGGAGTAATAAATGAACTTGATTAGAGGTCGGCTTTGGTCATGGGTTTGAACTTCAGGAAGCGGTATTGACTTGTTGAGTTTTAGAAAGTTGAAGAAATACTACATGTAACAGGGTCAGTAGTATTCAAAAAAAAAAAACTATAACACCCTCTACTCTAAAATCCAATAATAATGAATTGAATGGAATTAAAGATAATTAAATTTATTTCTAGGTAAAATTTCAAGCTTAAGTCTCATGAATGAAATAACATGCACAATTCTTCTTGTTTGTAACCTAATAGCAGTTCAATTCTAGATTAATCAAAATTTTATGTAAGTATTAGAGAGGGCCGGGAGAGCCAAATAGGAAAGGGCATGTACGTGGTTTAGGAGTTCATGGTTTAATTTTCCTATTTTTGAGATAAAAAAATAAAAATAAAAATCAGCTCCCATTATTACTTCATTATTCATATGTAACATTAAACATACAGAGTAATAATTAATTCATAAACCCAAAATAAAATAATTCCAAACTATATATTGAGAAAGAGGATATAGTTCAAAAACCAATAATTAATTATGAAGAGATGTTTCAGTAGCTTCACCCAGGCAATTTGGTCAGCATAATAACAGGTCAAAAGCGTAATATAAATGTTCATTTTATCCTTGCTTGAAAGGGTCAATTTTTTCTCCAATGAGAAATTGACGGAGAATGAATCGGAAGGACCATTTTTGCAAAAAATAATAGTCGTTGACTGATATTGCAAGGTTTGAAAGTCGTGGATCAATCCTGATAGTGTTATTATAATCGTGAAACCAAAAATTCGAAAAACTCATTGTCAACAAAATATTTATGTTTCATTTATTATGGTATTGATGGTAAAGAAATTGTAAGAAAAACTAATTACAATAGCTGAAAGCTAAATCTTTTTTTTTTTTTTTTTTTTTTTTTTTTTTGAAACACAATACCAATTATGTCCAATGCATTTTTTTTTTAATTTATGCTAGATAATAATATTTCTTATCATAAAAAATTAGAATTCTATAGGGATAAGGGTCAAATAAGCCCTCAACAATATGTCAAAATGCAATTAGACTCTCGAACTAAAAAAATGCTTCAATTAAACCATTAAATTGATTATTACTTTGTTTTTACCTGCAAATTGAGATGATTGTACAAATTTAAGAAGTTATGGACTTAGGATGCGTTTGAAAACCTGTAAAATGACTTCTGGAAAATGTTTTCCGGGTTTCTAGTGTTTGGCAAGAGGGAGAAAAATGAGGTCAATGGAAAATGATGTTGTAATCAATGAAAAATAAGCATGTTTTGGGAGAAAATGACTTTCCCTTTCTTTTGGGGGAAGTCATTTTCCAATTCTCATGCTTGGTATGTATATCATATAGTTTTTGTGTGTGTGATGTAGATATACTATATATATATATATATATATATATATATATATATATATATATATACACACACACACACACGGTATGTATTTAACGAGTGCTATTTACAAAAATATTTTATCAAAAATATCAAATGATTAAAATGGTGAAGTATACAATTGTTACCGTTTTTCTATTCATTTTCTGAAAAAAATGAACCAAACACTCAAAGACAGTTTTCCGTTGTGTAGCCAAACATCGAAAATTAAAATATTTTCTGGAAAAGGACTCATTTTCCGAAAAACATTTTCCAGAAGTCATTTTCCTACCTTCCAAACGGAGCCTTAATTGCATACAAGTAAATAAATGAATGACCTAATTGAAGCTTTTGTTTATTTATGTGGCTAATTGCACTTTGGCAACACAAGGAAGAAGTATTTTGCCCAACTTCAAATGTTGGTACATGTCGTTGCATTTTTTATTTGTTAGATTTTGACTATAAATTTTTAAAAGAAAAAATGGCACTTTTCTCCATGAATTATATGCTTATAGCGATTTTCTTTCTTAAATTATTCATGTATTGATATTAGTCCAATTAATTATTTTAAAAGTAGAGATTTTCCCCTTCTATGTTAAATGGGCGTTAAGACTATTAAAAATATGAGCAAAATATGTATTTCATTTATTGTTTCATTTCTAAAAAATTATTGCTTATATGTAAAAATAAGAATAAATGTGAAAAAAAAAAAAAAACCGATACCATTTGTAAATATTATAATTATATTTATAATTTTAAGCTAATGCTAGTAACATAATTGAAACTTAAACACAAATAATTCATTATTGCTAATTTTTGTTGAAGTCTTAATTTTGTTACTAGAATTAATTTGAAATTATAATTATAATACTTACAAATAATGTCTATTCTTTTTCGCCATTGATTGTGGTTTGCACATACAAGTAATAATTTGTTGGAGAATTAAAATGACTTGAAATACCTATTTTGCCCTATTTTAACTGTTGGGGAAACATCATCACTTTCAAAATAATTGGGTGGCTAATGTGGATACATGAATAATTTAAGAGAAAAAACACTATAAACATACAATTCATGGAGAAAAAGTGTCATTTTTCCTTTTTAAAATTTAATATTTTTTTTTTTTGGGGGGGGGGGGGGGGGGGGGTTTGTAAATTAGGCTATAAAAATTTGTGATTAAATCCTTTAGCTCCATTTTATGCAGTGATTGTAAATATATGACAACTATGCATAAATGTAAAGGAAAAAGGGAAAGAGCAACACTGATCTAATTTGTAGTGGTTCGGCAACACCTACTCCACTACTTAAGGGCACTTCCGTTAAGATTGTTAACTCTACTCTCCAAGTCACCTATTCGATTGTGGGCATTACTACAATCCTCGATGAACACCCCTCATCGATTGGTTCACACTTCTCACAGTGGTGATGACACTTTCATGAATCTCAATCCTTCATAGCACCAGGTGAAACAAAACACCAACCTTAACCCTTGTCTCATGAGTCCCTTGCACATATCTAATGACATGCACTTTTACGATCGTCACCCCTTTGTAGTTAGGGTACAACAAATTCACCATTTTGTTACCAAGGTTGTTACTATGTCACTGTAACCACACTTGATGTATAACCCGCCTCTTACAAATTAAACCCAAGTATTTACACCATTTGAAATATGACTTAATTAGATACACTTTGTACATGCATGTCTTTATAATAGACTAAATTAAGCCTCATTTTGGAGTTCAATATATTAAGACTCATCAATCTTGAACTTAGAAAGGTTTATGGATGTAAAAGGAGAATGAACATCTTTCAATTCTATGTATACATACTAGAAGCTTTGGAAAGATAGAAAGTAAAAGGTTATAAGATCATATATATCTTCTAGTATGAATGAAGAAAATCTTTGTGGAATACTGGAATGGGTAAAGGTGAAAGAACATGATTTTCTTAATTACCTCAAATTCTTCATAAAAATATGTTAAGAAAGGAAGCTTGGAAGGTTTTAGAATGGTGAAATGAAGAAATCATTTTTAAAACAATCATTTAAAAATTTATTTTGAAATTTTGACTCAAAAAATATAGATATATTCACACAATCCGTGTGTAGTAACTAGTGAGTTAATTCATTCCTCCATACCATTTTGTAAGCATATTATTTCTCATCCTCCACACAAATAATTGTTTTACAAAAGAGCTAAAATATTAGGTCATATATGTACGCTCCCATGTACACACATGTCATAAAATTACTTTTGTATGATACGGCTGTTTCATTCTCACAGTGAATTTGATCCAAGGTGGAGATTGTTGGAAAATAATAATTTTGGTGCCTGAAATCCTTGAAGAATTAGTCTTCCATTCGCCATGCAACATCAATCACGTAGCATCTGCATGCGGCATGCCGCACCATCCATCACCCATGTACTGCACATGTTCCCATTTTTACATGCGCAATTCTCTCTTTTGAAATAAGAAAGTGTGGAAAGTTTTGAAGAGGAAAGTGTGAAAAGCTCCAAAGAAGAAAGTGTGGGAAGCTCTAAAGAATTAAGTGTTGGAAGCTCTAAAGAATTAAGTGTTGGAAGCTCTCATCAAGTATGGTTGAAAGCTCGGAAGTGTGTGAGGAAATATCTGAAGAAGAAGGTGTCGAAATCTCTGAATGCATTCAAAGAATTGAAGAGGAAAGTGTTGTAAGTTCTAAGAAGAAAGCGACTTGAGGGATTTTTAAATTGTGGGCTTATTATAAACTTATAAAGCCAAGGTATGAAACTTGTGGTTAAACTCCATATTACTTTGTAGTTTTATTTAAAGAGTTCATTCCAACTTTAACTCATCAACTATCTTATTTGTACTTCCAATCATCCACTTCAAAATCAATCAAAATTTGGTACCTGAGTTTTTACAGCTTGCCACTTTAGTCCTATAGTCTGGCACTAAATTTTGTTCTTGTTGGGCTAAAAGTGGCAAGTTTTCAAAGTCGTTAGGTATTAATTGTAATCAATTTTTGAGGTTGATAAGTGATAACCACAAAAGTGGAAAATCCAATAGACGTCTTGTTGAGGGACTAAACCCGGAATCCAATAGTTGATATATGCATCATTTATTGTAATTTTGTCCAAAGAGAATTAAGGAGGTTTTCCGATGTGTTGCAATTGAATTTGAACTTCAGTACGTTTATCTTTCAGCTTTTAGGTTCCTGGCTGAGGTTAATAAGATCATCATTGCTGAATCAGTTCTTTGTTGCTTTTCATGAGTTCATGCACCGGCTAATGGCGATGAAGTTGATAAGCATACCCCAAGTGTTGAAGAAAATTGTGAAGGAAGTGTTGAAAGCTTTGAAGAAGTAAGTGGTGAAAGTTCTGAGAAGAAAGTGACTGAGGAATTCAAGAAGCCAATGTATGTATACCTCTGGAATATCTACATCAAATCAAATCAAATTCCTTATTTAAACTTAATAATTTTTCTGTCATTACTAAGGGAAGTGCAATGACAAGGCTCTGGAGTCTGGACTAGAAGGAACACTTTTTTCGTCGAGCCCCGGGTAACCAATACCCAGATTGTGCTCCGGCTAATACAGAGTTTAGCTTCTATCAAATCCCGTTTTGGCGATCTCTGCCGATGCCGGTTGTTTCATTCACATGGTTTGCAATTGAGAACAGGAAGAAAGCTTTAGAAGAACATAAGGAGCATTTTGCCATATATGTGTGTAGAATCCAAAGAATATTCAGTCAACATCAACATATTTCTCCTATTTGCTTGGATTATATGATGCATGTGGTGTTTCAATGCCAAAACTGATAAATACTTTGAGATGGTTTTTGCTAACAAATATGCATACGGTGCTGTGGGCCTGTGGCAAGGGGTGAGCCTATAGTTTGTAATACTTAATTGTTAGGATCAAATAAACTATTGTTGATAACAAATGTATAACTTTATTTTCATATTACTTGTTGTCTATAAGGATGTCAATTGGTTCAACCTGGTCTATTTTAGACCAATGCTATCGATAATTAATTAATATATTTCACTTATAATATAAAAATTATAATAAGTTTTTATTTGTCATTATTTATTTTCATAAAAATAATTTGTTCCGTAATAAATTTGTTAAAGTTTTAATAAAAATTAAATTTAAAACATACCAAAAATGAGTTTACCTACAAACTCTTTTATATATTTTGTTAAACATCCATTTTGAAACAAAAAATAACATTTAGCAATTCGCGTTGTCGGGTTAGCCCACTATTTTTGGAATTAGCCTGTTCGAGTCATCAAGTTTATTGGCTTCGAACTAATCAAGCTGGTTTTTTATTGGTTTACTTTTTTTTTTTTTTTTTTTTTTTTTTTATTACCTCTAATTCTTACAATTTTTAGTCTTATCAAACCAACTCATCGATTTCAAGCTAAGAGTAACCACTTAATTGTAATATCATGGATTTGGTTCTTAGCTCTGCACTCCACATCTCACATCCAAACAAACAAAAAATATATTGGAGGTTAGGTCAGTTGGTTCGACCCACTTCAAAGTCTTGCTCCAATGACAGTGTGTGTGCGTTCGAATTTCACAGGGAACTTGGGGATCATTGAGAGACCTTGAGCGATATGTGCACAGTGTATGGCAGAGGTGAGAACCCAGAGACTGATAGAACAACTTGTCATTTACCTCATACATATCCTCTGACATGTTTGGTAGAGAGTGATTGCAATTTATTTCTCGCTTTTTTTTTTGAAAGCTAATTTATTTCTCACTTAATTTCAAGAAGTGAAAATTTCCATAGTTTGGTTAGGAGGACTTGCAATTATATGAAATTACAATTCTTCAAATTTGAGGAATTGCAAATCCCACCTCCTCCCTAGGAATTGCAAGTCCATAATACATGGAAAGAAATTTTGGAGTGTGAAGACCAAATTGCCCTTCCTAATAATCATATATCTTTCCCTTCAATTACAAGGGCATTTTGATTTTTATATTATTTATTCCTTTTTAATTCCTATACATACCAAAAACTTGTGCGAGACCGTCTCACGGATCTCAATCCGTGAGACAGGGTCGAATATTTGATTATCGAGGTCAAAGATTTGATTCATTAATTAAAGATTCGACTCCGTCTCACACAAATTTTTGTCAAACTTATAATTACTGACTCTTTGTTATAATGTAATATCTATTCATACATTAACTTGAGACCTCTCATTTGGATAGCATACCCTATATCACAAGGTATTTGGCCAAAATTTAAAATTAGTCTAGCTTAATAAGAGATACCTACCGAATTAGCACCTTCCAATACTGACAGTCCTAATTGGAGAGCCAGTCAATCCAAAAAGACCAGGTCAACAATAATTGTCGGTGGAGTACATACTTCTCTAGTTCTCCATTAATTCTGTAGACTTGTAGACCTTCCCATCTGCAGATATCTCTCTCATCACCTCTGCGATACTCATTTCTGCAAGGCAAGGTATGTTTCATAACTCCATCTCATCATCTCTGCAAGGTATGTTTCATAGTTTCAATCTCCAACATGACTAATTTTTTTTTTTTTTTTTTTTTTATTTTTTTAGTATTTTTTTTACTTTGATCTGTTAATCTGAAATTAGGCTTAATATAAATGCATCCTCTAATATTCACATAATCTAGAAACTGTTTACAATCTATATATGCTGAATTAGACATTTATGATAGAATATTGAACAGAAAGAAGCTCCATATGTCAGCTAGGGAGTTGTGTTAGTTTCTATGAAATGGTTGGTTGTGCAAAGTTCGATTGTGGCTGAGATTACCCTTTACCAGCTTTGAAGTCTAAAGACAACTTTTTATCATGATTACTACTTCATCTAACTTGTAATTGAACTTCAAACATAAGTTCACTATTGTTAGACATTATATGGTAGAATTATAGTCAATATGATCTTAGGGATTTTGTGTATAATATCTTAGGGATATTATTGATTCTTTAAAATAGATGTATCCTCTTGACTCATAAATATGAAAAAACATTGAGTTTATCATGGTATCAAGAGCTCTGTAGGAAAAAAAGAAAAAACACAGAAACAAATGTTTTTTATTCCTCTCTTTCTTCTTCTGCGCTCATGGCGGCGTTTGGGTTGGGGTTGTCGCCGGCCGGTTGTCGTCACCGCCAGCAGAAGTAGAGTCGCCGGTTGCCTATCAGCCGGACTGCCAACTTCTACGCGATTTTGCCCGGCGAGTGTCCCCCACGCACTGGAATCATCCACCGCCGGAGTCTCACGCGCCGGCGCGTGAGCCCTCCTCCGCCGCCGGAATCGACTTCGGCGTTCTCTCCCGGGGTCGCCTGGACTTCCTCAACACTACTGTAGGCTCCGTTTTGACTTTGGAGATCTCGGTAATATCTTTCTATAATCCCTTTTGGTCAACAGTGTACTGCCTGTTGTTTGTGCAGTTCTTGACTGCTAGTTGTTTGGTTTGTGACTGCCTGTTGAAAGTTTGGTTTGTGTGGATTTCGAGGCTTGCCTGCTATTTGTTTGGTTTTGTAGTTTGGGTTGTCTTCCTTTTGTAGTTTGGGTTGTCTTCCTTTTGGGTTTCAATACTTTGTTACTTTTGTTGATGACTACTCTCGTATGACTTGGTTATATTTCATGAGAATTCGTTCTGAATTGCTTTCTCATTTTCGTGCTTTTTGTGTTGAGATACAGACACAATTTAATATTCATGTTCGTGTATTAAGAAGTGACAATGCTAAAGAGTATTTTTCTCAACCCTTTTCCTCTTATATATATGCTTGAACATGGCATTTTACATCAATCATCCTGTGTTGACACCCCATCTCAGAATGGAATTGCTGAAAGAAAAAACAGGCACTTACTAGAAACTGCTCGTGCTCTCCTGTTCCAAATGCAGGTTCCAAACACTTTTGGGCTGATGTAGTTTCTACTACATGTTTTTTGATCAACCTATGCCATCTTCAGTCTTGCATGGTACAACACCCTATCAGTGTCTTTTTCCTCACAAATCTGTTTTTCCTATTCCATCAAAAACATTTGGATGTACGTGCTTTGTGAGAGATGTTAGGCCTCATGTCACAAAGTTAGATCCAAAATCTCTAAAGTGCATCCTTTTGGGATATTCTCTTGTCCAAAAGGGGTATAGGTGTTATTGTCCATCAACGGGAAGATATCTAGTGTCTATTGATATAATTTTTCATGAAGATGTTCCCTCCTCACCTTCTTCAGATTCTGAAAACCATGGGGATGATGATGATGATGTTCTCATCTATACGGTTACTACCGCTTCCGCTTCTATTCCACCTTTCCGACCACCGATCACTCAGGTATATTCTTGTAAACAACGGTCTGTTCCAAAAATAGTTGACCCACACTTCTTTGGTTCCAGCCAATATGCCTGGTTCATGTCCTGAGCCGGTTTCTTCGTCGTATGATCAAGATGACTTGCCAATAGCCCTCCGCAAAGGTAAAAGATCACGTACTTATCCTGTTTCATCGTTTTTTTTCTTATACTCACTTACCCCCTATTTCCTGCTCTTTTATTGCCTCTCTTGACTCCATACAAACCCCTAAAACTGTCAAACAAGCCCTGTCACATTCTGGTTGGCGTAACGCTATGATTGAGGAAATGAATGCTTTGGATTTCAATGGTACATGGGACTTGGTGGCTTTACCTACAGGTAAGAAGGCCATTGGGTGCAAATGGGTGGTTGCAGTGAAGGTTAATCCTGATGGGTCAGTGGCTCGATTGAAGGCACGTCTTGTTGCAAAAGGGTATGCTCAAACCTATGGTATTGGTTACTCTGACACATTCTCCCTTGTTGTAAAATTGACCTCTGTTAGATTGCTCATCTCTATGGCTACTACACATGATTGGCCCCTACATCAACTAGACATTAAGAATGCCTTTCTACATGGTGATCTCCATGAAGAAGTCTACATGGAGCAACCACCTGGGTTTGTTGCTCAGGGGGAGTATGGTAAAGTTTGTCGCCTTCGCAAGTCTCTATATGGCTTAAGACAAAGCCCTCGTGCATGGTTTGGAAAATTCAGTCAAGCAATTGACAGGTTTGGCATGGTGAAAGGGAAATCTGATCATTCTGTTTTTTATAAGCATTCTAAAACAGGTACTATCTTATTAGTTGTCTATGTTGATGACATTGTCATCACAGGTAGTGACACCGCTGGTATTACATCTCTTAAGACCTTTCTTCATAGTCAATTTCTGACTAAAGATCTTGGAACATTAAAGTACTTTCTAGGTGTCAAGGTAATACGGAGTAAGAAAAGTATATTTCTCTCCCAAAGAAAATATGTACTTGATCTATTGACAGAGACAGGGAAATTGGGAGCTAAGCTATGAAATACTCCAATGATTCCAAATTCACAGTTGACATCAGAAGGGGAGCCATTTGATGATCCAGAAAGATATAGGAGATTGGTTGGTAAGCTAAACTATCTGACTGTAACCCGGCCTGATATCGCTTACTCAGTTAGTATTGTAAGTTAGTTTATGGCATCTCCAACTGGTGATCATTGGAGAGCTGTTGAACAAATCTTGAACTACTTGAAAGGGGCTCCAGGGCATGAAATTGTATATCAAAAC